CTAAAATCGCACAGTGTATCCCTGATGCCAATTTGCCATGGTGGAATGTCTAAAGTGACCAGCAACTTTGTATTCAACTGCCATTTAGTCAATAACACTTCTCTGTGTGAGCAGAGCCTCCATCACTGCATTTGTTCATTAGCGTGGCAGTGTACACTCAGCTTGCGTCACACTGAATCAGCGGGTATCGCAATGTTGGTATCCGTGAATTTTTATGTGGACGAGTAAATGAGCACGGTATCAGCCTGATACCCTATACTAGTTATTGGTATCGATGCACCCCCTAATTTGTCACATTATGAAATGAAATATATGAACCCATACTGTTCAGTGTCTGAAATGCATATTAAGCAAAAATGGGAAAATATTACCCTTTCAAAACTACAGCAATTGATCTTCTCAGTTCCCAAACACTTACAGAGTGTTGTTAAAAGATGCAACACAGTGGTAAACATGCCAGTGTCCCAACTTTTTTGAAACCTGTTACTGACATCAAATTTAAATGGGCATATATTTCTCAGTTTCAAAATTTGATATATTGTCTTTGTACTCTTTTCAATTAAATATGAGGTTTTAATCATTTGCACATCATTGCCTTCTGTTTTCATTTACATTTTGCATAGCATCCCAGCCTTTTTGGAAACAGGGTTGTACCATGTTTTCTTTCACTATATAAAAGATGCATGAAGACTGTTGGCTGCACTGTGTTTTTTACAAGGTGTGTGGCTTATTTTCCATTTAATGTATTTTCTTGTTAAAAAGAAGTTTGTGACACAAAGCTGAATAGAAATACATTAATTCTTGGCTTTGTTAAATCACATTCTTTACACATCAAATAAACACAGCAAAAGAACTGAGAAGTCATGTTATTAATGGAGAAGAGCAGATTAAACAGCAGCAACAGTCATGTTTTTGCATCTGCCTTAAAGGGTAAAATTAGCTAATTTGCTTATCTACAGTGGTTCAATTAGAGATTACAAGCATGACGTAACTCAATGACAATGTGAATTAAAAAACAAATGCATTTCAGCTCACAAATCCTTCACCATCTCATCTGCCATGTTGATCAGACGGCTGTAAACAAACCCCTCCACTCTGATTGATCTCAAGACATTGTGGGTAAAAGGCTACTGCTCAGTCCGTATTGTTGCAGTCCTCTCTAAAGGCCGCAGAAAGAGAGCACACAGATGAATGCTTGTGAGCACCAAAATGGACACACTAGCCAAACTAGCACCACTGCACTGGCATCAGAAGAGGCCAAATAGCACTAAAAAGGGTTCTTCTATTGTTACAGGCTTGACATGGTAACAATAGAAGAACCATTTTTGGTTCTATAAAGAACAAATGTTTTAAAAAGTTACATATAGAACCATATACAAAACATTCTCCACTAATCTGATGAACCATTTTACCATACAAAGAACCATTTAGGCGTAAACTCACGGTTCTACACAAAGGTGCTAAAGAATGCTTGAATCTTTTTTCAGAGCGTACATATTATATAAATGGAAACATTAGTTACTCTGTATGTTTTTAAAACAGATTCCATTTGTCTTACAAAGAAGACATGAGAGTGACATACTGGACTCTGAAAGATCTGCAACATCTACAATGGCCTTCATGTAAATACAATATGATCTGATGAGCACTTAATAGAGTGCATGAATGGCAGCTAGGGCTGAACAATTTAGGTAAAATATCTAAACGCAATTTTTCCTACCAAAATTTGCTATTTATATTGCGATTATTTTTTGCATACATAAGGTCCAGGCCAAGAGGATCGGTGTCTAGTTGCTTCGGACTGGCCCAACCCATTTACGGGCAATTTGCAAGCTCTGTATTATCAGGATCAATTTCCCTACTTAAAACTTGTTAAGACAATGCTGTTGACAATGTAGGCTATAATCAAAATTGCAGCTCCTGCGATTTAAAAACTGCACTTCTTCAAACTGTGATTTCGATATAAAAATGATTCATCTTTCAGCCCTAAAGGCACCATCCTAAGAATCTGTAGCCGTCACAATCTACTCACCCTATATGCCTGAAAAGGGGCAGATAAATAAATCAAGTTGGGCAGCTTGTTTAGATGTATGTCAACTACAGGGAGAACATTCTCTGCAAATACAAAGGTTTAGAAGTTGTGAGCTGAATGAAAACATTTTAATCCACTGCTCTGAAATAAGGCTGTTTTTCCACTTTTGTCTGGACGGCTAATCTGCCTACTGAAGTCACAGACTTCTCTAGATTAGCCTACTTTTGCACCAAACATGTTTGTGCCAATCCAGGTTCATTATTCTTTTTAATTCCATTCTATTATAATGTACTGCTAACACTCTGTTCTTAACAGTGTTAGGACTTAGTCAGGCAATTTTTTAATTTTTAGTTTGCAAAGCCATCCTTTACATTATGTAAACATTTCATGATGAATGGACATAGAAATGTCCCAAAATTGCTTAAGATAAAATCTTTAAGTTAAAGTTGTAAGTTCTTTAAAAGTAAAGAACATTTTTTGCCTTTTCCTGTAAAGTTGCTATTCTTGAGATACTTGTTTTTCTTTTGGATAGTACCAAAATATTAAACAGTGGATGTTACTGTATCTGAGATATAGGTTTTCTTACAACAGCAACAACACGCCTCCAAAATATACTACCATCAAAAGTTTGGACATTATTTCCTCATTCAACGATTTTCCCTCATTTCTGCTATTATTTTACATTTCAGAATAAAAGAAAAGGCATCAAAACCATAAAAAAAACACATCTGGAATTATGCAGAGACCAAAAACATTAAACAAATCAAAACTTCTATTCACCTATTTTAGTTTCTTTACCTTGTCTTGATGCAACTTTCCACACTGTTGATATTCCCTCAAGCAGTTTCAAGAAGATCCACCTGATCCAACAGGACTAAGGAAGATATATATATCATCAACATGCATTTAAATATAAGCCTTTAAATCAAAATTCAGTTAGATGTAACCCAATGTTTGAATGGTAGTGTAAATTCTCAGAGGACAGAGTTTATTCTCCCTTCACTGATCAGCTAGTTCTGTACTGAATAAAACCCATCTGCTCAGCACCACATCATTTTTTTTCAGTGTGCTGAGAAGGCAATAAAACTTTGATGCTACAGGAAAAAAAAATCCCACAATGTGTGTATGTTTGTTTTTGTAGCTTTTCAGGACACAAGATCAAAACAAGACTAACCTGATGACTTTGTGGAAAGCTTTTTAATGTTTATTTTTTCTGTTTTCTTATTACATACAGATACATACCTGAAGTACATACTGGACATGTTTTAATTACATACAGATGTACATATTACATGCATGTAATATAATGCCAGATATGTAAGTAACATATATATGATCCTATGTCCTGACAAGCTATAAAAACCAACCTGTGTGTGTGAGCGTGCATGTGTGTGTAGAAGAAAGACTGGAGGCTGGCAGGCACAGTGTGTTCCGAATGCAAGAAGCTCCAGTGCTTCTCATGAAAGGCACATTGAGGCCAGTCCAGCTGCATTACAGTGACTCTAATGCTGCCTTGTGTGGCCCTGGCTTGGCAGCAGGCTCTGGGACAGCACCAGGCCGTCTGCACTCGGACCACCACGTTACTGTCCCACTGAGTGGATGTCACAACTTTGCCTTTATGAAGACTGAAAATAATCAGTTTAAATAAACATGTCACTCAATCCAAATAGAGATATATTTAATATGAAGCCAGGCTAGTCTTGTCTGCCAGTGAACCACAAAAGACAGCCAAGAGAAGCATGAACTGTCTGAGACAAACTCAGCCCATCTGAAGCCCACTAGAACAGCAGGTTCCACTCCTTAAAGACCAATAGACAGTTTTTAGGTTAGGTTGTTTTAATCCAGCTGTAAGCATATTTGAGGTACTTAAGTAACCAGCATTCAAGCAATGATCACTTATTCCAGATACATTCTAAAAGATAAAACTGACACAGAAGAACCACTTTTGGTCCCCCGAAGAACCTTTCAGTGGATGGTCCATAACTAGTTTTCTAAATCAGATACGCAACAAGTGAAGTACTTCCACAGAACCTTCATACAATGTTAAGGTTCTACACCAATTAAAGGCTTTTTCTTAGAACCGTACATCCACACCGAGAACCATTTACCTTAACCGTTTAAGACTGTAAACTCTTAGTACAAAAGGATTCTATCTATCACCAAAAGTGGTTTGATGACTTTTAACAACAACAACGGAACACTTTTTGGTGCTATACAGAACCTTTTTTAAAAAGTTCTTCAAAGGATCCATCACAGAGGGGAACCATTAAAACACATAACAAACCATATAAACATTCAAATAGTTATTTGGGTTGTTTCATTTCTATACATAACCATTGCTTTTACTGAAGAAACCATGAAGAACCACTTTTTAAGGCTGTATGTTCGGAGCTGGAGTGGGACAAACATCTGCACTGATTTGGGATCCTCCAGAACTGGATTAGAGCCTTCTACACCATAAAGAGGTCTAAAACTGGCCAGTAAAAACCATTCCTCCATCAACAGCAGTCCTTTAGGTTTAATATAATAAACCATTAGGACTGACAAGTCTTATACACAATCCACAGCTGCAGGCTCTTGGGACTCTGGCTAAACTTAAATACGAGCTCATTTCCATTCGTACTTAGGTAATGAAAGACTGAAATAAAGTGAATAATCATATGGTGGCAATGCATACATTTCAGCATAGCTTTATTCTCAGGAGAACATAACATAAACTGGAAAACTGACAAGCAGAAATACCAGAAAACTGCAGTATGGTTGAGATAATCAGAGCTACCTGTTGTACCATTAATCATAATGGACGACTCGTTCAAAAGCTATGAAGACGAGTTTCAGCAGCTCTTCTTCTTTACTTCATGAAGATTTCTGATAATATTTACTTCTCTTACTTAATGTGTGAAGGTTTAAAGTAAACCAGCTCCCAACACTGTACAACACCCATCTCAGCAGCCTACTCCTGCCTTACCTCAGGCTGAAGAGGCTGAAGATCCTGGTTGTCAGTCAGTCTGCTGAATGGACAGTGAGAGCCAGTTCCGAATCACGCTGTCCTCACTAAAGTCCGCGTTCGTCGTTCACAAAGTATGATATGACAGAGCTGGCGATGGGAGAACGCGGGCATAGTCACTGACTCTAGCTGGAAACAGAAGACACTGGAATCGCCGAGTAGCGCTTATCAAAATCAGCTGCTCGGTGTGGCTCTTTGGAGCAGCGCCATTTAACTGAGTGCGCCTGCTGTGGCGGGTAACAGCACAGCTCAGGTCCCATTGTGGCCGGCAGAGGTCGCTTTAACAACCCAGCTTTCTTGAAGACGCTGTTCTGAGCGCTATAGGGTTAAAGCGACCCCTGCTGTCCAGCCTGGGAAATTGGCTGTGCTGTTCTGACATGTTAAAGCGACCTCTGCTGTCCAGCGTTGGAAAGCAGGCTTGTCTGGCTTAAACTTGGGCAGAAACGTTATAAAGGAGGACACCGGTTACTGGTTAAAATATGAATGGAAAAGCCCGTAACGATCAACATGGCATGTGTTTAAATAATAAGTCCAGCCCTTCAGTAAAAAGAGCCAATCAGCTTTCTGGTTAAGCCGTTAGCGGGAAAAATCACCTCCTTGAGATCTGCGCATGCGTAGTAGCCAAAACAACCCGAGAAAACTCATTGTTATGCGTTATTTGAGCACAACGGTCCAAACTATTAATGAGGGTTTGTCAGTTTTTACCAGTGATTTGAAATATGTTTTGAAGCGGTAATTTGACCTTCAATTTAAAGTTTTTTTAGGCCTCCCCCATTTCAAAGTGATGGGAGCCTGAGTTTCCTATAAAGACTTGACGTGGTCAAGATAGAAAACCAGCTGTGTACTTCTGTGTCGCTTCTATTCTGTACTAATGAATTGTATTTCAGGTTTGTAACATTTACAGATAACATATAGCATATGTGCATATCAAAAAATACTCTATTACATACATTCAGTCTACAAATATGCATATCTTTCAATATATCGACATATATGCATATCGCAGCTTTCCAAAAACAAACAAAACAAACAAACAAATAAAAACATCTCTATTTCTTTTTTATTTTTAGTTTTCAGCATAATTTAATTTCAGCAGATGCCCTTTATGTTGTGTGAAAATTTCATGATGAATGGACCAATAGAAATGCTCCAAAAGTGCACGGAATTTAAAATCGTTTTACATTAACTTAAGAGTTAATGTAAAAGTTAAGAATGTTTTGCCCTCTTCTGTAAAGTCAACATTTTGGAGATACTTGTTTTTCTTTGGAGAGCGATGATATGGATATTTAAATAACAAATAAATTAAATAAATATATTTAGCACATACATTTTAAAATATCACATATATTGCACATATTTTTTTATATGAGCAAATGTATTTGCATATTTTTTTCTTCCATATGGGTATGAAGTTGGCCTGAATTTTTCCTTTTCAGTTAGAAACAGTGTAAATGTAAATGATAGAAAGGGAGAAAGCTGGTGGAAGGGGAGAAGGTATGTTTCAAATAGAGCTAAAAATGTATTTAATAACATTTCACTGTATTAAATTGCTAAAATACTTTAAAAATACATTTTAAAGGAAAATAAGAATTTAATATGTGATACATTTTACAGTTTATTTTCTTATTGGGTAAGGGGGTGCAGTGTAGCGTCCTTTTGGGCCACACATTGAGCAGCCCTGGTTTAGAGGGTGTACTGTTTAATCTTCTTAGGGCTGATAACACAGTGGATATTCAAAACAGACCAGAGATGAGGTTCATCCTACAAGATGGAAGAGCAGTCTCTTTCAGTCCAATCACTGACACTTGATGAAACATTCACCGGTGCACCTGGTATAGGCCTACCAGCACACTCTCACCTTTTCAAATGGCTTTAGTAAACAGCCTCCCATTAGAAGTGGCAAAGTGTCCAACTTATTTCTAATCTGTCATTCCTCTGTAGCTGCCGGCTACTCAGGGTCCATTATGTAGATATTGGTGGTGGACTTGTTGTGGGTGCAGTTTATGCTGCAGTGCACAGATGAACATATAACATTAAATCTAAAACGATGAGATTTTGGATTTATTTCATTTATACAGTTGTAAACCATTCTACCAAATTAGTTCAAACTGCGGTCTCACAGTAAAAAAGTTTTTAAAGTAAAAAATTAAGGTAGATATTATAGATATTACAAAGACACATTTATTTATTTATATACATATATAAAATAAAAGCTAAATATACACAAAATCACAATTTACTTTCTATTGGGAGGTGCATGTTTTTCCAAATTTTTTTGTTGATTTCAAATATCTTTTTGATTTTTTTTTATAGTGAAGTTCAACGATTTAGATGAAGTTCAAAGATTCTGCTCAAAATCAACTAATATTGGCACTTCCAAACAATCCCAGCTGAAACTTTTTTTTAATTGACCGTCTTTTCCGAGATAACTATACTGAGAATGTAATGCATTGAATTAAGTGGCACGACCGCTGGCCCTTCTGGTTTTCTCCAGGTTTCCAGTCCACAGAAACTGTGGCGTCCACCAGATGTCAGTATGATCCACACAATGTGCTTTTAAAATGGTAGAAGAGTGGGCCCATCTATGAAAGACGCCATTCATGCTGCCTTGAAAATGTAATCTTGGCTTGCCCCATCTAGCTCAGGAGCAGACATGTTGCAGAACATGCCGGGGCAAGTTGTGACATGTTGCCTTCATGCATATCTGTCATTCTATCCAGTAAGATAGATCAGAAAAAGTAGTAGTGGCTGCATTATGATGTAGTTGAAAAGCTTGGACAGTTCAGTGAAATATATCATATTCACACAATCGCTGATTTGATGTTCTTTTCTATTATCTTGTGTTTTTTGGACTTGTGGCAGAGACAGGGCTCCAAAGTGCTCTTATCAAATACGCAAAAGTGCAGATTAGCTGGTCTTTAGGTAACATGTGCCCAAAATGTTCTTTGAACATAACGTACAGGACAGATAAAACAAATCTACTGTAGCCTGATGAAGTGCATAAACAGCAGAAAGTGTTCAGTTGCTTATGGTGGAGCAAGCTTAAGTTTGAGAACTGTGATGACTATTTAGTCATAAAATTGCCTAAAATGGTAAACAAAAAATATGTATATATTTTGAATACTGTTCAGCTGAGGCGTTTGTACTATGCTTCATTCTGACAATATCTACAATTGTTTCACACCTCCATTTCATTTATTCTCTTCACCTATTTGAAAATCTATCTACATCTGCCAGACTCATCTAACACTTCATACTACACTCTCTGTCCTCCTTTGGTCTTTCCCCCCTCACCCACAAATCCCTGCATGTTCAATATCACATTACCCCCTGCCTATTGGCCCTCCCCCTGCTGCAAATAGCCTTTCCTGAAGGCCCCAGAAGAGCTTCAGCTGAGGAACAATCAGACTTGGGTGAGGCTTGCTGTGCTGCTTGTACAAACTGCATATATTCTCTAGGTTAAAATACAGAAGAGCGAGGCCACTGAGGTATTTTCTTACGTTTTGGAGCTGTCATTCATGTGCCAACAGTATAACTGGCCCTGGGCAAAGGCTCAGTTTCCATTCCACAACAGGGAGCCAATCACAATGCATAGTCACATGTACTTGTGTACTCTTAAGAACAAAAGTATCAAAAAGAGTTGGAGTGATGCCATAACAGAACTATTTTGTTTCCCCAAAGAAATTTTCAGTGGATGGTTCCTTTAAGAATTATTTTTGTAAATAAGATGTAAAGAACCTGCAAAGAATGTGGGTAATGTGAAGATAGTAAATTTTTATTCATTTTTTCTAAAATAATTTTCTCCTAAAACTGTTCAAGCCAAAAACCATGAGCTTTATTTTTAACCCAATATATGGTCAGGGATGGCCGGCAGGTCCAAATTTTAATACATGTTTTCATTTCTTAAAAACAACTCTTGGAGCAATGCCATAGAACAAGTACTTTGGTACTTTCTAAAATGTTTGTGTTTTTGGTGTAATGCAGATTTGAGTACATCTGAGTCAGGTAGCCAGCATTGAAGTAATGACTAGTTGGACCAGGTACATTCAAAAGTGCCAAAAACATTTTTTGTGGAGCAATGCCATAGAAGAACCATTTTGGGTTCCCAAAAGACCCTTTCAGCGGATAGCCCTTGAAGAACTGTTCCTGTAAATGAGATGTGTGTGAAGAACTTTTTTTTTAAGTTTAAAGAACCTCCACATAATGCAAAGGATGTAAAATTAAAGCCCTTTCTGTACATCCAAGCAGAGAACCATTAAGGAAACTTTATTTTTAAAGCCAAATAATGGCTATTACCTGCTAGCAAGTGCAAACTTTTATCACTTTTAAATATCTTAGCATGTTTGTAGTTCTTGTACAGACTTAAAAGGGTTCTTTGAGTGATACAATAAAAGAACTACTTATGTTGCCCTAAAGAATCAATTTTAAAAAGGTTTGCATTTTTTGTGAATTGCAGATTTGAGTAAATCTGGGACTGGTAACCAGCATTCAAGTAATTACTACTTGGACCAGGTACACTTAAAAGTTCCCAAAAAAGTGTTCTTTGGAGTAATGCCATAGAAGAACCACTTTGGGTTCCCTAAAGAACTTTCAGTTGACAGCCCTTTAAAGAACTAGTCTTGTAAATGAGATGTATGAGTGTGAAGAACATTATAAAGGCTTAAAGAATCTTTACAAAATGTAAAGGCTTTGTACAATTTAAGATCTGTTCCCAGAACCTATTTTATTACATTAAATTTACTCACACTCACATCTCATTTTCAAAAATAGTTATCTAAGGAATCATCTGTTGAAAGTTTAGGGAGCCAAAAGTTATCCTTTTATGGCATATCGCCAAATAATTATTTCTGGTACCTTTATTTTAAGTGTGTAGTTACTGGATAAGCCTGGGAATGGGCTTGAGATCCCTCCCTCCAGAAGGCCTAATGACTTATGTAAATTAAAAAATGCATGTCTGTAATTTTTAGTTTACTTTTATTTAATATAATCAGCTCTGTGAGTATTGTAGTTGTACTCATTTCATTGTTTTGAGCTTTCTTTTGAAACAAAAGGGGTTAAAATCTTTACTGCCCAATGATTTAAATCAGGCTTTTTTCCTATTTAAGTAGATGCAGCCAAGCAAGCTTCCCCATTGGTTAGGACTTCAGGAGATGAACTGAAGGCCTTACATGTTAGACTAGCTGTCAACATAATTAAGAAGTGACAATGGAATCAACTAGTCTTGTTTG